GTCAAACGCACAGAATATCAGTGATGTGTCTTAACTAATACAGTCAGTAATCGATAAAAGAAGATAATACTATTCGATTATATATTCAAGATTATATCAAAAAATGGTTGCCTGTAAAGTCGGTTTTACGGGCGAAGATTTTACGTGACAACGTCTTTTTCTCGGTAGAATATTTATTGATATGAATATAATTAAATTGCACAATAGGAACAAGGAATTGAATGAAAATAAGAATTGCACAAATTTTAACTATAGAAATATATTTTGTTTACTAAAACATTGTACATGTAAACTTAAACTTAACACGAGAGACTCATCGTAACGTTACCGAGCGTTACACTTTTTCATAAGTGACTCCCAGCCGCAACCTAATTTAAGCCGTTGTCACGTCAAAATAAAACTGATCATTATTTTTGTAGTATAGGGTAATATTGTTCCACTTTTGTTTAAAAATCATAATGGTTTTTAAGTTAATAGATTCATAGCTAAACGTTGCTTATAAAGCTACGATTATTTATAATAAACAAAAGACAGAATCATGATAATGCAGATTTGTATAAATGTAAACACAAAGTCTACAAGATATTGACTTCATAAATTCTTACATATTTACTTTGCACGATTGTTAATTGAATAATTTAAAATTAATAACATATTGCAATATAATGCAGGGAAATCATCAACTTCCTACCCTCATCATCACAGGCTTTTTAATCCGACCTACTGCTGGGACACAAGGCCTCTCCTTGTTAAGAAAGTAGGTTTAGTCAGTAATCCACAGCGATTGCCAAATGCAGATTGGTGGACGCAGAATAAGGTGGTAAAAACTCCTGAAGTGATCCATTAGTCGCCTTCTATGACACCCATAGAGGAAACGGGGTGATGTTATTGTACTACACTTCGCCGGCACTTCCTTATTTTAGCTTTGATGCAATATGAGTATAGATGGATTTGTGTCATCTTCTTACTCTGCACCCAATTCAAATGGAGTCAGTATCTTGATATTGATCCTATAGTTTTGTCATTTCGATTTTTATGGCCTGCTTGACACCAACCCTCGGGAAACCCCAAAGGCACGATTGCTATCTATGACAGCAGTCAGATTACATTTTATAATTGCAATTGACATTCATTAATAGAATGAGCATAAAAAAGCGATTACCCAATGAAAAATATCGATAATCGATAATAGAATTTGCACTATCTGCATATTTAAGAATTGTGTACAATGCTGCCAGATTAATTATTTCCTGGAACTTTGATAATTAATTACAAAAAAACGGAGGTGCAAAAAAATCTGAAAAATTAGCAAATGATTTAAAAAAATATGAACTTTAAGTGGTATAAATGCCAATGCTGCCGGTTACTCACTACCACCTCCCATACAAAACTATACCGTCTCCTTTATTCAGACTAAAGAATCCACCCACAATAACACGCGAATGACATTTAGTTGTTTACTGAAAGAGACGTCACAATCATGGCGGATGTGGCGAACAGCGTTTTTAGTGTTTAAAAAATATAGACTAAAAAATATTTTTTAAAATTAAATTTCTACAGCAATCTTCTGCTTTTATGAAGTGAAATCGATATATTTAGGTTCCTTAGACCAAATACTGTAAGAAATAAACATTTATTTAATACAATTCGATATGAGTCAACTAGCCTATTGTGATTTAGCCAGTATGTTACGGCTTTCTACGATCCACTCAAGGCGATTTTTTATCATATGTTCTACGACTTTTAGTAACACAGATGAAAGTGCAATAGGGCGATAAGAGGAGTGATCGGAAGGACTTTTACCTGGTTTTAATACTGGGATAATAATCTGTTTGGACCATTGTTCAGGGACTATACCATTGTCATAAAAGGTGTTAATTAGTTTCAGATAGTAGTATTTTATTTTGTCTGTGGCTCTTATCAAAAACGAGTATGGAATCCCGTCTAGCCCTGGGGATGCGTCTTTCAAACCAGAAAGGGCTTTTTCAAGTTCTTCAAAAGAGAAGAATCCTTCAAGCGAGCCTGTGGAAGGCAAAATACCGCTGATACTAACTGGGAGATAATCCGAATTTGGAGCAGTTGGTGGAGCCAATCTGTCGGCAAACAGATTGATCCAGTTTGAAGGGTCGTTAGCCGTCAAATTTGCGCGGTTGCCAGCTTTGCGGAATCTTTTTAATTGATTCCAAACTATTGTTGAAGGGGTACAAGGAGTTAAGGTTTCACAGAATTTGGTCCAACCAGATTTTTTCTTTTGTTTAAGAAACTTTTTGGTTTGTGCAGCAACTCGCTGGTATGCCAAAAAGTTGTCCATTGTCATGGACCGATTATAAATTTTTTCCGCCTCTTTTCGTCTTCGAACTGCTTCTGAACATTCGAAGTCCCACCATGGCGGTACAACTCTTTTTCGTTTATTTTGTTTTTTGGGAATACTAATATGGGCCGTATCCATTAACGAATCGACCAGCACTTCATAAGCTGTAAGGCAGTTTTCTGTAGTAATTGCGGGTAGTGAGTCCGCTTTGACATCAAGCGACCTAGAGTAGGCATTCCAATCTGCTTTTTGTAGTCTAAATTGTAGCAAGGGTGAATGGCGACTGGCAGGTGTAGAATTGTTCAAGATGGAAATGAAAATCGGAAAGTGGTCGCTGCCATGTGTGCTTTTTAAAACATTCCAGGTAAGAATAGATGCCAAAGAGGGGGTGCAGACTGTGATGTCTACAGCTGATGGATGCTGGTCTGGACGAGTCCTTCTGGTGGGACTCCCATCGTTAATTATGCAAAGGTCTCTTTCATCTAGTAAATTCAGAAGTTGAGAACCAAGCGAGTCATTTGTATAAGCACCCCATGAAACATGGTGTGCATTAAAATCTCCCATAAGAACTACAGGAGGCGGGAGTGAAAGAATAATAGAATTTAAATCTTGGATGACAATATTGGATGAAGATTGAGGACGTATATATACTGAAAGATAAGATGTGTTTAAAATTTTTACAGCCACTGCATTTATACAGTCGCTGTGAGTTGGGAGATCAATTTTATTAAAGGGAAGGGAATAGCTGACTAGCAGTGCACTTCCACCATAGCCATCACTCCTGTCTTCCCGAAGACATGAGTACCCAGATAAGCTGTAAGCAGCCCCGGGCACCAGCCATGTCTCCGACAAAGCAAGGATGGATGGTGAGAATTTATTAATAAGGTAATATAGTTCAGATGTTTTATTAGAGATACTAATACAGTTCCATTGTATTATCTTCGCCATTTTTATTATTGGATATGAGTTTGTTAAGTTGGTTGATTCTTTGTGCAACGTTGGACGGTACAGGAATATCATCGATCCTATTTAAAAGACTAAACACAAAGGTTAAGAGGACTTCCAACAAGTTGTCATTGGGGGTGGTCTCCATGGGGATTGCTGGAATGTCATTGCTGAATGCGCAGCCGTTTGGGAGTGGAGATGGACAATTTTGAATGATGGCCTGGTGAGCTCTTTTATCATACCCTGGGTTTAATTGGGCCCTAGGTTTAGGGGACTGAATTACAGTTTTTTTATGAGAGGTTGTCATGATCTTACCGGAGGATGCTTGAGAATGGGATTCATACGTGGGCTGGGGAAAGCTAGGAGATTGGGAGACATCCGCATAAGATCTCCTGACAGAGGGGAATCTTTCTGAGGCTTCCTGGTATGATATGTTATCCTGTGACATTAATATTTTAATTGACCTTTGGCGGGACTGCTCAGGACAATTTTTGTTACATGCAAAGTGATAGCCTGAGCAAAAAAGACAGGTAGCTTTAGTCTCTTCTACATTGCAGGACGCTCCAGAGTGTGATTGTGCACAGCGGAAGCAGCGTGGCTTAGAGCGGCATTGAGTTTTAATATGTCCAAACCTACAACAGTTTAGACATTGTATAGTGGGAAGTTGGTAGGTCTCTATAGGCAATGATGTATGGTACACATACACTCTATTAGGAAGGACCTGTCCCTGGAAAGTGATAACCACTGTTTGGGTTGGAACCCAGGTTACTTGATTTTCTGAAATTGTCTTTCTTGTTAATCGTCTCGCCTTCAGCACTATGCCACAAGCTTATAGGTGTGACCAGAGATTCCACTAACTCCTCCATTGATAGGTCAGATGGAACCCCTTTAACAATACCCATGCGTGTAATATTGTAATTGGGAATAACTGCTGTATATTTGTGAATATTAAGAAAAGGGTTTTTTAAGAATTGGTTTGCATCTGTATGAGTTTTAAACTCCACTGAGATTCTGTTACGACCTACTCTTTTAATACCATCATCTATTATATTTCTAACTTTGTTTTTTACTAAAAGTTGACCGAATTTTAGAGGATGAATTGAAATGCCAGATGTAGAATCAGTCTCAATTTTCGAAACATGTACGAGAAAAGGTCCCTCATCACTATCTAGATACTGCTTATTTGTTTGATTTATAGATGGATGGATGTATAATCCGGGGGAGGGTGACGTCTTGTCTGACTGACTCACATCAGTAATCACTCTTTTACAAGGTGCATTCATCACTTCTTCTGGTTCCGTATCGTTACGCCGTTTAAGACAGGACTGAGTGAATACCGGCGGAGAAAGTTCCATTGATGGAAGCGGTGTGGGAGGCCGATCCGGAGGGTCCGGAGGTTCAGGAGGGGTCCTATCCATTGATTGCTTTGTAATCAATGGATAAGACAGGGAGACATAAGTTTAACTGGACTTACCAAACACCTGTTGTTAGTATAAAGCGCAAACACTTATTATTTTCGTAATTCCACGTAGAAAGTAGACTAAATACACTAATTCGAATAATAATCCCTTTGACACGTGTAGTAACCAACACTAGCGAGGGCAGAATCGGCTGTCAATCTGTTAGTTTTATTAAAGTTTGTGACTTTCTGTGTAAAACGGAGAACGCCACAGAAAGAAGAAGAAAAAAAAAGTTTGTGACATTTCTTTGCTATTAATTATTGTTCTGTAATCTGTTATCAGTTGTTTGCTATCTTAGTAGTCTGTGGTTGTTTGCTAGTGATTGTGATTTTGTGGTGTTGGAGGCTCGTAGTGAGGAGCTTTTATCGAATCTTACAGTACTGTCTACTTCAAGTCTTACTTAGATACTTTTCGCCTATGGATTCTTAGCTGCTATGCAGCGGAGTGTACCAAGCAGAGCATACTTAAGCCTGTTTCCGCTATGCCAGGCACAAAGTACGAACAGCTTTCGTTAAAAGGTGACACAGAAGACGTTGTAACGAGCAAACCAAAGGGGAAATGGTCGGATATTTGTGTACAAAAAAGCCTGCTTTCTCTAGGCTTAATTCTTATATATTTTTCCCTTTCAATCGGTCTAACTTTTTATCAACGATGGCTTTTAAAAGTAAGTGGTTATTGTTATGTATTTTAGTTTTTACTGTTGTTATTGAGTGCATACATAAACCAGATGTGGTATATGCTGATTTATTGTTGCCTAAGAAGAACTTTGTATAGGTGGTCTTTGAACTAGTTGGTGCCTGTGATTTCATTGGTGTGGAATAATTGATATTCCATACAAACTTCCACTCCCCTTTTTACCCCCTTAAAATATGATTTTTGGATAAATCTGGGTAAAACTGTACTTCCAGGGCCCAAAAGGTGATACTTGTTTTTTTTTGTAGAAAAAAAAGGTCTTTTTAATAGATTTTTTTTCTGGCGCTTCGCCGGCCGCTGCCGCGGCACGCTCGCTTTGCTCGCTCGGCTCGCGCGTTATGGTCACAACACTAACCTAACCTAACCTAGTGTGAAGTATCACCACTTGATAAGAAAAGTAAAAATTTTCAATCTTTTTTTCTAAAAAACTACCAGTGCATAAGTGTGACATTTTTTTAATAATGTGGTTAACAGAAACCTTTTTAACAACAAAAATGCGAAATTACAACCAACAAAACTGTGAAGTTTTTACTTTTGGGCCCTGGAAGTACAGTATATCCTAAATCTGTCCTTCCCCTGACTCGAAACTATCTCCACACGAAATTTTATCTAAATCGATACAGACACTCCACGTTTATAATATTAATTGAATTCCAATTTATTACTTTTTGATATGTAAAAAATATAATTAAAGTAACTACATTCTGGGATATTGATAACATTAGGAAGATAAGAAAGTCTTTATTTCTGTCTTGATATGAGTATTTATAACAATGGAGTTGTAATACAGACATTGATGTTTGTTTATTTATATCAAGTTTTATAATGTTTTTTTTGGCTTTTCATGTGTTGGAAGAATAATTAATCTAATTTTTATTTATTGTCCATTTGAAATGTTTATTATTTGTCCAAGAATGTAATTACAAAAAGAAATAAAAAACATATTGTTAAAATAAAGTTTTTTATTAGATACTTCATTATTTACTGAGAATTTTGAAAGGATAAAATAGAATTGTTAATTTCAAGGTTCATTTTAAGGTTCCATACCCAAAAGTTAAGTTAAAGTCAATTGGTCTGTCCGTATGTCACGGGTCTCTTTACCCGTCTCCATTTGTAGAAGGAATGAGTTACAGAACTGAGATTTTGGTATTTTATTGCAAAGTGGCAGCAATCAATTAAATTGAATGTAATCCTGTAAGATTTCAATCCTGGTTTTGCGGTATTGAACCATCTTAATCTTGCTGGATCCAGGTATTTGCGGCGTACCGCAGGGTGGATTAAAACTTTTGAAATCAATCATTATAAACAGCTGATAAAGTCTTAAATGTGACACAAATTAAACAGCATTTATGAAACATTCATACCTTCAACAGGTCAACAGACATACGGCTTTATAAAAGTCCTACTATTAATACCTGTAAGTTTCAGCCACTCATGATTTGCACCCCCTTGATTGGTGACCCGTTGAAATAAAGTTTTTTTATCTTTGTTGTGGGTTACAGCAGCTTGCCCTTAATCCGGCCCTGCCGCCAGTCCAGCAGGAATCTGTATATTTTTAGACTGAAATTGCATGCCCGGTATTGCATTCCCTAGTGCTCCTGTATTTAGACAAACATTGAAAACGCCTATTGATTCACAAATGATTTATTCTTATACAGTAGAGTTTCGTGCCGCGACTTATATAGTTATATTGTTGCAAAGATCTGTCTGCACTACGGGGATTTACTTAATTTCACAATAGGTTCCATCAATGTGACCCACGCGAAGACGTCGTACATCGTGGCGCTGGAGTAGAAGCACTAAAAATGGAATGTCGCTAGAGCGACGACGCTCACGCGTAGCACGCGCGATAGTATTAAATCTACTTTTAAAGTTGAACGCACTGTTTGATAGAATATAATATTATCTAGTATATTCTATATTAAATCACAAAGATTTTTAAATCAACGACTTCATGAAATAAACTGTCATGCGCGATAAGGACTGGCACAGAAAGGGTTTTTGGCAACTTAGTAGATACCACTCTTGGTATTTAAGGATGGGCCCAATTTTTGACTTTATTTGATTTGAAGTAATCTGTTGTTATTATAGCTCACATCGGCAGACGGCGGAGAGGGATTTTTTTATCAAAACAAATAGGTACCGTACTGTTAAGACAAATCCACTATAATGTTACAGTGTTGGAATTTACACCTTCTTACCATGATACGTACTACAAAATTACACAAGCTATAATCATGTTATAGTTATTTATGCAACTGTTGTATAATTAGGGGTATTAAAAGACGAATGTGGGTGACGAAACCGAGTGTGATTGTCGTGTTTTAATACCTAATTATAGCAGTTGCATATAAGACTTTATCTACACCTATAATTTGAATTGAATTGATTCTGAAACCATGAAGCGTTCTAAGAACTTAAAATTCATGAAAAGTTTTATCGCTGTGGTGGAAGCGCGCGTGAATGACAGTATTCTTTTTTTTAAATTCATAATACCACGCATGAGCAAGCCCTTGACGCGGAAGGGATTTAAAATGCAAAGGATTGTTATTATAAAAAAAAATCATTGTCATTCACGTGCGTTTCAATACCACAACGCACAGTTTGATGAATTGAGTCGTATAGTATCAAAGGCGGCAAAGTAGGGCGAACCAAATATTTGGCAAATCAAAAAAAACTGTTTAGTCTCGTCTTTAAGGGAGGATTTTTATAATTGACATTCATCATAACTACAAATCGTAGTGAAATGTCAATATTTTATCCTCCCTTAAAGACGAGACTAAACAGTTTTTTTTTGATTTGCCAAATATTTGGTTCGCCCTACTTTGCCGCCTTTGATACTATACGACTCAATTTTAAGTTCTTATATGGTTTCAGAATCTTTAACAGAGGATTCATATCATGGGTGTAGATAGAGTCTTGTATTTAACTGTTCATAATTAGGTGTTATAAAACACGAATGTTTATCACCCGAGGCGCAGCCGAGTGTGATAAACCATTAGTGTTTCTTTAACACAATTATACAGCAGTTGTATAAATAACTTTTTTTAAATTACGACATTGGATGTTTTAATGTTGGCAATAAGCTGTTTCAGAATCTTTAATAGCGCTTTTAAAATATGGGTGTAGATACATCAATAAAGCTTTGAGTTTGATTTTATTAACTGCTTTTCAGGGTTTCAATTTTCCTCTGACGGTGGTGATGTATCACCTTATAATCAAATGGATCCTGTCCGTGCTGGTGCGCACAATTTTGTACTTGATCACGGGCACCCCGCAGCTGGTGCTGCCCTTCATGACATGCCTGCGGTCTGTGGGCCCCACCGGACTGGCCAGCGGCATCGACGTTGGCTTCTCCAATTGGGGCCTTGAGCTGGTCACAATATCACTTTACACCATGACCAAGTCCACCACCATCATTTTCATACTCTTGTTTGCCATTCTCCTGGGACTTGAGAAAAAGGTGAGTATCATTTATATTATAGGTTGATTCCATTTCCAAGTTTGTTTTATTGAATTACATTATTATTATTTTCATTTACTTTATTATCATTTATGATGAACTTTAATTCATTTCCTACCTCACAAACGAAAATCTGTCAGAAGTGTATTAAACCAGTTGAAATAAAAAAGTATTAAGCAAAAACTGTTCGGAAGTGTGAAGAGGCTGGCCACTAGTATTTATACTTTTTTCGACCTGGCTAATTAATTTAACGGGATTCCATCCACAGGTCATCGTCTGTTTGTTGCAACAAAAACTAGTTGAATACGGAAATTGTTTTTAGAGCTTTATAGTTTTCCTTATTGCATGTGACGGACGAGTGGTTTCATTCCACTAGAGAAAAATTTGTAAATTACTAGGTAATTATTTATTGGTATCCGCGCGCAGATAATGCTCATGTCCTTACGTTTTACCAAATTTCAAAACGAAACTAGTACTTGTATTTTTTATAAACTTCATCGATTTCTTTCTGACCGAAATAAACTGAACTTGGTATTATATGAAACATTATGAGCACGTTAATTTTTTTTTTACAGTTACGGCATATTTTAATGAAGTTAATGTTAATGCTAGTCACAGGATGGTGCGCGGTGGGTTCAACCATATTAGAGTATTTAATATCGTTGGGTGGGTTGTATCGTCACGTGCAATGTCAGTGGCGCGGGCGTTTTGATTTAACGACTTCATTAATTATGTTGCGTGACGCTATGACTTATCTGATGTAAACACCAATTAAATAATCCAATATATCTTTACTAATTGTTTTTTCTTTATTGCTGTACAATATCTAATATTTTTAAACATAAACGTTTCATTCGAATTGGGCATCTTAACTGTTAAGGACGACGCGAAAACGGCGTCTTCATCATGCGCGTCGCCGGTGCCGAAGGCGCCGCGGCGTGCGGGGAGTCTTCTGGCTTTTGGCCACTTTAGAGGTGGCGTTTGCGCCTCCCGTTGAGGAACGGGATGGTCGTTGGGGTCAATCCCCCTTCTCTACGTCTTCACGCATTGTCCTCAGCGCGGTCAAACCCACCGGGTGAGACCGGTGGGGGAGGGCCAGTGAGCGACCTGCGAGCGGGTGACGGACTTAGCGTGATGGTACCAATTGTGTGGGGGTTTGACATCTTGTCATTTGTAACTACCCGAAATTCTTATTGAAGTCGGATAGTTGTTGTCCGATCTGGAGAAGCTCTTACATTGCGTCTTGTGAGGCCTGTGTCGGGGTATGATCTTGGGTGGCGGCTGCGATGAGTGGCAGGGCGGCGGTGGTCGTGTCGGTCGGCGCTACGCTCTGCGAGCGGCGACCTTTTCTGTTGCGTGACGGCGGGGTGGGTCGATTCGTGACGGTGGGGCATTCGAATTAGCGTGCTCGCTCACCTCGCTTCTTTGTTGGGGTGGCACGGCGGGAGCGCGGCCTGTTTGGGCCACTGTAGAAGCCTTATTATTTCGTGCCTCGCGATGGATCATGGGGCACGAGCTGTAATTGGCGGGATGCGGATGAAAGATGCGGGCCCTTGCAGTTCCCCACCTCACAAGGCCTATATAGAGTGAGATTTCATTATTGTATGACTTTAGCAATCGCTTTATCAGGGGCGATAGGGACACTGGCGATGGTATCTCTCTGTTAACCCCTTCTGAAATCAGTTAAATAGTCCTAGGGCTGTTGTTCTTGTGGTTATATTGCGTTCTGTAAGTCTATCCATCCACCCACTACAATAGCACGTGGCTGACAGAAAGTACTGATACTAAAGAATATTTTTACATGACAAAATATATTTATAACAATCACATCGATTAAACTAGCTCCAAATTACTTACTTACTTGCTGCTGCGGCGCAACGATCCAAAGTGGATCTTGGCCTCCGACACAAGATGACGCCATGCTCTGCGATCCCGGGCTAGGTCCCGCCAGCAGTCGGCACCGAAAGACTGCAAGTCCTTCTGCACCTCGTCGCTCCAGCGGTATCTGGGACGTCCAACGGGCCGTCGTCCTATCGGTCGCCCCAAATACGCTTTTTTCACGTCCTCGATCCTCTCCCTTTCTCTCTACGTGTACGAGCCTTATTCTCCTCTCTAAGGGTCGGCGTCCAAGCCTCACAACCGCTCTAATCACTGTATTGTAGATCCGAAGTAAGTAGCTCGAAAATAAGCACTGTACATTTGTTTTGAGTTGCCAGGGTAATGGATAGAATATGTACATATAAAAGTATATATTTTTAGATATATCTATAGGTATTTAAACAGATTTGAGTACAAATGCTCGTATTTGTCATACAAACATTTCGCCACCGGACTTCGGACCTCTACGTAGGCGATACCTTGATAACCGGTGTAAGTACACATACCACTGACACCACGGAGGTCGTCTGTCGTCTTACGTGCCAGGCTGCATTAAAGTTTTCTAGTGGCACTAACATTACCAGCACCTTACGTGTGAGAAGTTTGAAAGCATTTCTTAGGCTGCAAGGCTGTGCCATTTCTTCTTCACGTAGGTAATAATTAGAGATGGGCCGACTTATCGGGAAATGCGACTATTCGGCATCTTTTGTAGTCGGCTACTATTCGGCTATAATATGCACATAATAAATGAAATAATACTAAAAAATCGTGTTTGTTTTTTAATTTCTAATCAGTACCTAGTGTTTGTACCCATCTATTCCCGTCTAAAAATATTTTCTTTATTTTATATCAATAACATTATTATTTATCTCAATTACGTTATACCGGCACAGCAAATACAAAACGAACAGTTGAAATAAAAAAGTAGGTAGTCGGAAATTTGAAAACCGATTAGTCTAGTCGGCAAATACTATAGTCATAATGTCTAGTTATAATGTCAAATATGAAAATATACTTCACTACAAATATTATTTTTATTTTTACTAAATAAATATTATACTGATTATACTAATGTAAAGTTTGTCGACGCTCGGCGAATTTGTTGCTACGCTTTTCATTATGCATTAGTTGCTACGCTTTTCATCGGATGTTCTTGCTGGCATAATCTTTATATATATAATTCTTCTGTGAGTGTGTATGTCACTGAACTTCTCTTAAACGACTGGACCGATTTTGATGAAATTTTTTGTGTGTGTTCAATTGTGTGGGATCTGAGAATGGTTTAGATTCACAATTTTGTCCGCTGGACAACCCCTATTTTTTAGGGCGGTACGAAGTTCGCTGGGTCAGCTAGTATATTATAAATTTGAAAATATCTACATTTGTTACTCAGTTAAACATAAATGTGTGAATGGATTTGGATGAACTTTGGTACTTTTGTAACTGAACAAAACAAAAAAAAACTAAAATTTTCGCGGGAAAGTATTGAATGATGGGTTTTTGTACTATGGTATATATAATACGGTAAGATAATTTAATAATAGCTACTTCTGTAAAGTGCTGCATAATTATTTGCTCTCGTTGTATTATCAGCTGCAAAAGAATCAGTGCATTATTACCTAACCATTGCGCGAGATCATTATCATTTATTTTATTTAGTAAATACTGCACGCAATGTTCTGCGATTCAACTTGGTTGTATGTAACAACTGTGCTAATAACATCTTTGAGTGGCTTAATAGTACGTACTCATGTATGATTTATTGTTTTGTGAAAACCTCTCCAACGCCATTGTTGTGCATATACAATGAACAAGAAGTTTTCAGAAGATTTACTCAGCACTGCTATTTTCGGCTATGCGTCTTTACCACCAGGCGATTGTCAATCGAGGCATGTAAGTTCTTTATAGGTATGCTGGACTAGCAGCTTAGATAAGTTTGTTTTAATCTAAGACTGGCAGATAGCTAAAATAATTATTATGAAGATTTAGGATGACTCAGTTTCATCGGCCATACGCTATGATGTTAAGTGCTCGCTAATACTCCAGCTGCTGATAAAAAAACCACCTACCATAGGAAAAGCAGATATTTTGAAACGAAAATGAAAATTCTTATCCTCATTAAAATTCGCTTGGGTTTATATTGAAATATGAAATTAAAGGGCACGAAATGCGCTTCAGTGTGAGATAATCCAAAAGAGCATTGAAAATGAAAATAAGTATTACCTTTTGTTCTTGTTTGTTTTGGCGGTGTATTACTGCTTATACGATTGTGGGACAGCTCATTGATGTACTAAGGTCTTATTTATTTTTGTTGTTAACTTTTATCAGCATCCGATATACAAAATTTCTTAGTATAAATTTTGTATATCGGATGCTGATAAAAGTTAGATAGATTCATATAGTAACGCTAACGGGGTTGTTTTTCAGTCATGGTCACTGGTGGGCATCGTGCTGCTGATTGCGGTGGGCCTGGTGATGTTCACATACAAAGCGACGCAGTTCGACCTGCTGGGCTTCAATTTCCTGTTGCTGGCGTCGTTCGCTGCTGGCCTGCGGTGGACCTTCGCGCAGCTCCTCATGCAACGCTCCTCGCTCGGCCTGCACAACCCCATCGACATGGTGTTCCACGTGCAACCCTGGATGTTCCTCAGCCTGCTGCCCTTCATGATCATGTTTGAAGGTCGGTGCTACGTCGAAGTTTGTTTTGCGCGATGTTTTAAGAGGCTGCTTAAGTGGGCGTACACTCCGCGTGCTTGTTCCATGTTATTTCATAGAGCTCCGCTGCGTGAGGCAAGGCGCTGTTCTATGAAATGAAATACAAAACGAGCGAGCCTTACAGTAGTCGCGTATGATGTGTAACATTTGAAACCTCACCTTATATTAGTAAATAAAGAAATAAAACCTACTACAAAAAGAATAAGCCATTTGAACATTATGTTCTAAAATCAAATAAAATAACGCGCGCTTTAGCGACTTCTTGTTCCACACTCTCGTCCCATTTCATGAAATCACTCCCACAAATTACAGGAAAGTAAGAGGAAGATACACATCAAAAACTGCACTGCAAGAGCGGACCGTGCTCCCGCTTAACGCAGCGCAGGCTCATATAGGGATGATGATTTTAATTCGAAATGTCGCATGACGTAACGTCTTGGTCCAATTTTTAATTAAAAGTGTCATCAGGAGCCCGCTCTCCCAAATTTCGACGCTCTTTATCTTTGTATTTTTTTAGTTCATTGAAAAAAGAAAAAATAATGTCCATTATTTAAAAAAAAAATCTAATTGATTCACTAAATACAATTTCATTTCCGATACCGTATCGTCATCCTTATTACTTTTGTAATAATTATCTTTAGGTCGCCTCATTGCTGGGGCAGAGACGTTCCTTGTTGTACAAAAAATTGAAAAAAACTGACGATATTTTAAGATTCTATAACGAAATGCTTAGCACCGTCTGCACGCTTTCGAGCCGAAAAGTAGAATATATATTTTCTTTTTATAGAATAATATAATTGATTGAATTCAAGCCGATAGGGTTTTATACTCAAAGGGTGACAACGGTTCGTTATTATTAAGCCTGCGCTATCGCTATTCGTTAACGCAAGGATTTATGTGTATATGTTCTTGTATAACAGTCTGTGTTGCAGACGCAGTCCATCAAGGCTAGGTGTAACAATTATATTATATTCATAAAATCAAAAAACCTTTACGGGCGGCTGTCACTGTCGGTTAGTTCACTCGCTCCTAAACAACGTTGATTTGCATAATCTCGCATACAGAATGCTCCAGTGACGAACGTTGTGGCTTACATATGAACTGATGATCGACATTGCATTATAAAATTTTATACAATTCACATTTTTATCCATTTTTTTTATTTAGCCCATTTTTAGCCCTACATTAATATATAATAAGATACAACAAATTCTAATGCATGATCAAAATGAATAAGAGCGCGTGTCTAAGTAAGAAACTTCCACGTCACAATGGTGGCAGTGAAAATACTACTGTTTTGTGGTGTTGTATTTCTACCGGAGGTTAAGGATTTTAGATCTCTAACGATTTTAATCCAAACAGACAGTGTGCGTGCTAGAAATAACGCTTTGTTCTCAGCTACAGAGCACCCTCATTAGTGTCCGCAAAACTCATTTTGGTTCGTAATCGAAATCTTCAAAATTGGCGACGTGCGGGGAGGGTAAGCCGCGTTTTGATTGTACCGTCAGTGTGAAATTTGGTGAAACGCTGTGTCGCCATTCGTTGATGTTTAGGGGCGTGTAATACGCTTATATGAATTACTACATTATTATGATTGGCACAAGAGGGTGCCCTTATATGCGGTCTCTAGTGGCGGTGCTTTGTGTTCCGGTGGTTAAGTATAGCGAATCGAACTTAACGGCGGCTGTATAGTTAGCACCAGGCGCAACTATGTGTAGTTTTCAGTTTAGTGAAATCTCAGGCGCGCATTCATCAATCTACATTTTGTTTACTGCGCCGCTACTTGTAACTTTATAGCCGCTATAAAGTTTGAATCGCATTTGACGTACTATGTGGTTGGATCTTATAAAGGGTTTAATATTATTATCGTGTTTGGGGCAGGGCTGGAGTGCCTACGTCACGTGCAAGACGAATGGGCGGATCGAGGGGAGGGTGGAGGTGGGGGGCAAGCGCTAGCCACTCTGCTCAAGGTGTCGGTAGGCGCTACCATCGCCTTCGCCATGGAGATCAGCGAGTTCCTCGTCGTCACATACACTTCGAGCCTCACGTTGTCTATCGCCGGCATATTCAAGGTACCTCACAGCGAGATCCGCTACCCCCGAGCCAAGTTGCGCACTCTTCTTGGCGAATTCATTAGTCATTTTGTAATAGGAGATGTCAGTGGGCGCCACCATTGTCTTCGCCATGGAGATCGGCGAGTTCCTCGTCGTACTGTTATATCGAATTTAACATTAATAAAAATAAAAGTGCCGATGCATCCCTATTGCATTGACGTCAATGCAATAGGAATCCACCTCAACCTCCGGTAATTAAACTTTACTTTCAAGCAGTACGGATTGGACTCGCGTCCGGGAAACACATTTTCTAATTTCATAAATTAAGTAGTGTTACCTGGTAAATAAATTGGTTTTTTAAAAAGCGTTTCCTGACCCGCCCCGTAACAGTGGTGTCAGAAGTGGGATACCAGTGTAATTATCGTCGTTTTTTCGTTGTCTTCTTACGCTGGTATTCCATAACGGGTCGCGCAAATAGACCACAATAAATAACAAGTGAACTAAAGTGCTGAATTCCTAAGTGCCAATCCGACTCCGGAGCGCAAACTCCTATATCCTAGCCGCGCTTCGTCAAATTCTTCATCGTCCAGTGGCTAAGTCGCGACAGTCAGTCTTGCTCTCTGTAAGCCTGCCGACTAGACCAAAGACGTCCTCTGTATCCTGCCGGTGCGTTGGTCGCGCCGTCTACGCTGTATCCAGTCATCGTCGCCACTGAAGGCGTCGTCGCCGCCAAAGGCGTCCTTACTGCCACTGCGCCGCCCGCCCTGTTGGCGAGCTGCTCTTACTGTCGCCGCTGCAGCGACGCAAGCTTCGCTGCCCTCCGCATCGCTGAGCACCCAGAGTAATAGACCTCTGGTCATCGTCGTTCCTGAAAAATCCTGACATCCAGTCGGTTGCGTTCTCTAACGCGCCGCCACTCCGTTCGATCCTGTGAACGCGATCCTGAAATTATGCAGACACATATATTTGGTTTCCTGTCGATCCTGTAAGTAAAATATACAATTATTTGTTATTTGCTACAATTTTTCGTAAATAGTGTCGTTCGATTAATCATACCTACCAATTCTTTGTCCTAAATCTTTTACCTCATTTCATTTCTACCTCGTAAACTTACGCTTTATTTTATACTTAAATACCTATCTATATTACGATTATCCTTATCTTACGATATATACTTACTGCTCCAGCATCCTTATCTTTATTTAGCATATTTTTATTATTATTTTCTCGTTCGTGTTTTAAGTACTTTAAGTGATAATGGCCGAAGAATCTAAGAAGAACAGCGGGTGTGTAGAATTTGTCATGAATGAACAATTTCCTATTAATGTCTTATGTAATTTTATAAGCCCCTACAAAGGGGACCGCGAAACACTCACCGCTTTTCTTACGAACTGTCAAAACGCAATCGACCTAGCATCGCATAGCCAAAAAACATTATTGGCAAAATATATCTTATCTCGTTTAGAGGGAAAAGCCCAAATCGCGTGTTCAAACAATATAAGGGGTATAAGGGGTGCCGCCTAACACCCAACGGCACCCAAGCCAACCTCACCTGCTCGCGGTGTACCCTGCCGACCAACGGACGAGGCTCTGGCGTTCCCCACCAACCCGCACTGGGCCAGCGTGGTGGGAAACGGCCCAAAACCCCACTAAAATGATGGTACATAATAAGAGGCCCCAAGTGCCCGGCGGTGCTGGAGTCCGTGGCGGCGCTGACGGACGCCGACTCGGCGCCGGGACCAGGGGTGCGAAGAATCCCCGGGCGGCAAAAATCCCCCGTCAAACGACCTTGGCCCTGGCAACGTACAACGCACGCACACTACGGACCGAGGAGAAGCTGCTGGAACTGGAGGAAGAATTGAGCAGGATTCGCTGGAGTATTGTAGGACTATCTGAAGTCCGAAGAGAGGGCGAGGACACGATGGTCCTTAAATCCGGCAACCTGCTCTATTTCCGGGAGGGCGAAGATCTGTCCCAGGGTGGTGTCGGGTTTGTTGTCCACAAGTCTCTCGTGAACAATGTTGTACAGATCGGTAGTGTGTCGAATAGGGTGGCGTACCTTATACTCAGAATCACCAAACGGTATTCGTTGAAGGTCATACAGGTATACGCTCCGACCTCGACGCACCCCGACGAGGAAGTGGAAGTCATGTATGAGGATATTTCTCGGGCAATGCATGCTTCCAGGACCCATTACACCGTTGTCATGGGGGACTTCAACGCAAGGCTGGGCAAACGTGGCGCTGATGAGTTGAAAGTGGGGCAATTTGGAGTTGGAATCCGGAACTTCCGAGGTCAAATGCTAGCCGATTACATGGAGAAGGAGGGACTCTTTATGATGAACTCCTTCTTCAGAAAACTTCTGCATCGAAAATGGACCTGGAAAAGTCCGGATGGCGTGACAAAAAATGAGATTGACTTCATCATGTCGACTAAGACTCGGATATTCAATGATGTCTCAGTGATCAATTCGTTCAATACGGGAAGCGATCACCGAATGGTAAGACGCACATTGAATCTAAGTGTCAAAGCCGAAAGGAATCGACTGATGAAGTCCACGCTCCGTCCTGAAGCCATCCAGATCCAAAACCCCGAGCGCTTTCAACTCGAACTGCAAAATCGCTTCGATTGCCTAGAGAGCTGCGTAGACGTGGACAATTATAATGACAGGTTTGTTGAAGCTGTCCTTACGGTGGGCTCGAAGTTCTGCAAGCCCATCCGTACCAAAAAACGTAGCAAGATCTCGGAGCCGACTCTCAAGCTCATGGAGAAAAGGCGTGAGATGGGTCTGCAGTCCTCTGAAGATGCACGTCGGCAGCTCAATAGGCAGATTTCGAAGTCTCTGACTCGCGACATACGCCGCTTTAATACTG